TGGTGCAGCTCGGTTGAGCTGCGTTTCCCACTCGTGTCAAGTTCCAGAGAGAAATGATCGGAGGCTTCTTCACTCATTGCTATCGGTGGCCCTGAAGCCAACCGGTGCAAATTCCATGTTCCCATGGTGGGTGTGATTTTCCCCGACTTAATTGCCCTCGTATAACATTAAGTAAGTGGAAAATCTTCGTCCGCAACAACTCTGCTTTGCGTATTGTCGAGTTTGTGCCTATTACCAGCATCTGTTCAAGCAAGCCTGACGCTTCTGATGAGACTGAATGTAGAAACTAGTCCAGAGTTCGCTTGTGCTGTGGCTGTTTGGATGTGTAAAAGTAAAAGTAAAAAAGAATAATTTCGTGTTTTCAAGCAGAGGGACAGGTGTGTGACGCATGCGTATTTGTCTCCTTATTTATTTTACCGCCTCTTCATGCAACGTGCCAGCAGCTTGAAGTGAACTCCACAGCGCTGATTTATCAGTACATTCTTGAGATTCAGCTTTTTGTGACCACAAGAATCCAAAACCGGACCGGTGAGTGCGTGAGAGGAGCACGCCGGGACTGGCTCGTCCTCGCAGAGCCCGTGGGGAACCGTGCAACCCCCCCCTCCCCCACCACGGCAGCCTCGGCCGTGGCCACAACCCTCACGGCAGCAGCAGCGGCGGCGTCTCCCGTTACACAAGGACTTGCTCATTGAGTCAGGGCAACCGCTCCCAGCGAGCGCATGCTGCGACACGTGCTCCCTGTGCCGCTTGCCGCTCAGGATTTCACTTGTTGGGGTGGGGGGAGGGCATTCCAGCGGTTCGTCCACCCGTGGGCAATCCCACAAGTTGCCCGAACTCGGCGAAATAATGAAACGCAACTTCACGCTGTGTTGAATATAGAAACTTCTGACAGCTGCATTAGTCGCGTTATTGTGATTATTATTACACTTGTTTACCCAGAGTGGTTGCGGTTGGGGGGGGAAGGGGGGGTGACGATCGCTGCTCTGTTGTTTGCCAGTTAAGTCATTGGGTCAATCCGTGGCAAATCAACAAGGGCCTGCAAGTGGGCTTGGTCTTTAGCGGCGCGAAGTTGGAGAAGGTTTTCCAACTTTCAGCTCTTGTCACGACCCGTGATCCCATGGTGGTATTTACAAGGGAGAGGTGGAGGGGGGGGGCGGCTTGTTGGAGGCAAGTGTTTTTTTTGGTAATTTGGAAAACGTAGCTGCCGCTCGAACGGCCCGCTCTGCAAAGGCGTCGCGCGATCTTAACCGTCCGCAACCATTCGGGCGGCGCGGAGCGTTTGTGGTTGATGGTGGCATTAACCGGGGATGGCCCGCAGGCCCTGAGCCGCGAACTTCCGCGACGAGCCGACTGACACGACCAGCCGACTGACGCGACCGGTGAACTGACGCGACCAGCCGACTGACGCGACCGGTGAACTGACGCGACCGGCGAACTGACGCGACCGGCGAACTGACGCGACCGGAGAACTGACGCGACCGGAGAACTGACGCGACCGGCGAACTGACGCGACCGGAGAACTGACGCGACCGGAGAACTGACGCGACCGGCGAACTGACGCGACCGGCGAACTGACGCGACCGGAGAACTGACGCGACCGGAGAACTGACGCGACCGGCGAACTGACGCGACCGGAGAACTGACGCGACCGGAGAACTGACGCGACCGGAGAACTGACGCGACCGACGAACTGACGCGACCGGAGAACTGACGCGACCGGCGAACTGACGCGACCGACGAACTGACGCGACCGGAGAACTGACGCGACCGGCGAACTGACGCGACCGGAGAACTGACGCGACCGGAGAACTGACGCGACCGGAGAACTGACGCGACCGGCGAACTGACGCGACCGGAGAACTGACGCGACCGGTGAACTGACGCGACCGGAGAACTGACGCGACCGGAGAACTGACGCGACCGGCGTCAGCGAACTGACGCAACCGGAGAACTGACGCGACCGGAGAACTGACGCGACCGGAGAACTGACGCGACCGGTGAACTGACGCGACCGGAGAACTGACGCGACCGGAGAACTGACGCGACCGACGAACTGACGCGACCGGAACTGACGCGACCGGCGAACTGACGCGACCGGAGAACGCGACCGACACTGACGCGACCGGAGAACTGACGCGACCGGAGAACTGACGCGACCGGCGAACTGACGCGACCGGAGAACTGACGCGACCGGAGAACTGACGCGACCGGAGAACTGACGCGACCGGAGAACTGACGCGACCGGAGAACTGACGCGACCAGAACTGACGCGACCGGAGAACTGACGCGACCGGTGAACTGACGCGACCGGTGAACTGACGCGACCGGCGTCAGCGAACTGACGCGACCGGAGAACTGACGCGACCGGAGAACTGACGCGACCGGTGAACTGACGCGACCGGAGAACTGACGCGACCGGAGAATTGACGCGACCGGCGAACTGACGCGACCGGCGAACTGACGCGACCGGAGAACTGACGCGACCGGAGAACTGACGCGACCAGGGAGGCGGCGGGGGTGGAAACGTTCCGACCTTCTGGCGCGATTCGAGGCCAATGCCGCGATGATGAGTCCGCACGGCGTCACTCTGCTAGCACGTGGCGGCCTCTTTCCCCCATCCGCCTCCCCAGAATAGCGCCACGCGGGGGCCCCGCGGGAAGAGCTGCGTCGGCGTTTGTTTTGAATCGATGCGTCGACGCGCGTTTACGCTTTGTGCAAGCATCAGCGGTGGGCGCCTACTGAGTGGGGAGCGAGCGCGTGAGGGTCATCGACATTGTGAAAGCAACACGACACAATGCAACTGTGTGGCAGTGGTGGGAAGAGGTGGGAAGAGGTGGGTAGTGGTGGGAAGTGGTGGGAAGTGGTGGGAAGAGAGGATCAGAAGGGAAGTTTGTGTCGACCAAGGCAAGTGTGGCTCAGCGGCGGTAGAGCAAGCAGCTCTCAGTCGGGAGGTTGCAAGCCGCAACTCCTAGTTGGGGCATTGAAACTAAAACTATAAAAATGTATTTCACCAGGTAAGGCCCACTGAGCTATGTAGCTCTTTTCACAGAACTGGCCTCGCCACAAATGATAACTCGACGAAGTGGCTTGTGTGGACATTTATAGCAATAGCCGATTACTCTGAACGCGTGTTGATTGTATGCGAAGGGAAAAACCGCAGGACCCAGAGAAAAGCTCCAAATATACAGCAGCAGGCGTCAGGTTCAGGATCGAACCCACAACCTCCTGTATGCCAGGCGAGGTAGTTAACATCTCGCTACCGTGGCACCCACCATTCCTCCGGGGTCAATAACACGAGGACCACCTTGTGGGGGAGGGGAAACGTGGTGGTTCTGTGGAGACTCGCCCCCATCATCGGTTGGCTCCGTACGGTGCAAAAGAAGTTCAACATACATACGAACACAAACACGAATGTGGAATTTCCACCGCTGGCTCTGCAGGGCTGCAAGTGAAAGATGAGCTCCAATGTTTTTTTGGGGTTTGGGGGGGTCACTTTGACGTGTGGTGCCCCCCCGGAATGCCGTGCGGTGTGTTGAGATGTCACCCGCAGGGCCGGCGCTAAGAGAGTTTGCGTTGTCCTGCACCGGGGCCCACGATTCTCGTGAGGACGTTGAACAATAATAACAGACTTTGCCCCTTTCTGGTAATATAACAGGAGGTGTTAAGGTATTCAAACGCCAAATAGGTCGTACTCGAATTATAAATGTAGTGGGTTTACTCTCCAGCACACCGGTGTGCTGAACTAGTAACGAATTGGCCACGTTTTCTTTACGTGTGTCGCATGCTCGCGGGTTTAACTACTACACATTTATATTCACGCAATCTCGCCCAAAAATAATCTCTGCATTAACCGCACATACTTGGGGCGAATTATGCAAACCAACATGCAATGATCGTGTCTGCATTGTCCTTGAGACTGATTGGCCTACACCAGAGACAGCCTTCTTGATGTTCGACCAGAGAACACCAAAAGTTGAAACGTACAAAGATAATGCAAGCATATTGCGATGTGTCACCCTGGTTGTGAGTGAGTTGCGGTGTCGTTTAAAAATGTGGCACATTTCGACCGCGACGCCGTCAACGTCGTCCACTTCTTTCGCTCGGTACGTCGCCCACCGTGCTCATTGGAGGTGCATTGTAAAATACGGACGAGACGCCCGCAGTGATAACCAGGGCGGCCTAATAACCAGGGGGGGGGGGGGGGGGGGCGGACGTACCGCCGCTGCGTCCGCGGAATCTCCACCCCAAGGGTTGAGGTCGAAGTCTTGATGAGCGCTCGTTGACGTAGCAGTGTGTGCGTGACGGTCCGCGGCACTGAGCGAATGCGGCGTTATTAGCTTTGTGTCTCGTAGAGATTCGTTGCCTGCAGCCGATGCTCCTCGCGTTGACGGCACACGCGATGAATGCTGCTGGCCGAAGTTCGTCTGGAAGCCGGTAGCCGTGTGGGGTGGCGTGCTCAGCTTGGGCCATGGTACAAGCAGCGAATCGGGGGACCCCCTGTCTACTTTCCCTCTGTAGCCGCCCCGCACCTGGGCCCGGTGCTATCAACCCCTCCGATTAGTACGGTTGGCTACGTATGGTGACACTGCAGTCATGCCTAATAGTTACTCCGCTAGCCCGTGGGCTGATGGACGAATTATACTGAGAACTCGAGGAATGACCACCATGGAGATGGAGCGATGACGCTGGAAAGGCAGCCAGAGTCGGCGCCAACATTTGCCCAGCTCCGTTGGCCGTGCTGCCATAACACGCTGGGCGTAAGCCAGCGAGCGTGTGATGGTGACCTCAACGCCCACAGGCAGGGATGCCGTTTGATGCGTTTGATAGATCCGCTGACTTTCGCCTCCCATCGTTGTAGATAACAGGGACACGTGTGAGCGTAGCCACCAGTGCCGGCCATTGGTATGGTGGTGTGGTTTGGTGTAGATGTCCGGTGGCGGTGATGTTACATGTGGTTTACCCTCCGTGCTCCCCCTGTCTTTTCCCGTGTGTGCTGGCAGTGAGCGAACGAGTGGCATCCGTGTGGAGCCATGAACAAGAGCTATTACGACATCTTGGGCGTGGTGCGCGGCGCCAGCCCCGATGAGATCAAGAAAGCGTAAGAGACGCATTGACAACACCGCACAGCCACCACTCACACCACCACCACCACACAGCTACCATTCACATCACTCAGCATCACCACCACCACACAGCTACCATTCACATCACTCAGCATCACCACCACCACCACACAGCTACCATTCACATCACTCATATCACCACCACCTCCGCACAGCCCCCATTCACATCACCACCACCACCACTCATCACCACCACCACACAGCCTCATTCACATCACTCAGCGTCACCACCATACAATGTGGTGGGTGAGTTGGGCGAGGTGGGTTGCGCCCCATCCTCTGTCGGATGCTGAGAAGCAGCTTTGTGCCGTTGTCTCTAATTGGCGTCTGCAGAGGCCGCTGTGTTCTGACGCCCCCACAAAGCCGTTAAGTCGGCTCCAATGTGTGCGGAATGCGGCCGCCAGAGTTCCAATCTTAGCATGCGCATTACGAGCCCACAGCTCGAGTTAATTTTCTGCCTGCCGATCAAGTTTTTGGTGGAGTTCAACATCTCCCTCCTCCTAGTAACCCACAAGGCCCCCAATGGTGCCGCTCCAATACACATTCGCGAACCTTCTCCATCTTCGAGTTCCTGAGCCCTGCGGCCCCGTGATGCCACCGCCGCTGTCGTGCGTGCCGAGGTCCGCGAGACGTTTGGTTCGCCTAGCCTCTCCGCTCGTGCGCGTCCCCCACAGTTGGACGCGTTCCTTCTCAAAGGCCTTTCCACTTCCTCCGAAGGCGATCTTTAGCTGTTGGGTTTTGTCTGGTGGGGCGTTCTCATCACGCCTGCCTTTTGTGGTTTTTATGGGGTGTTCACTGCGGGGTTTTATGAGTAAGTAATTTGAATTGCTGCTTCTAGTTCTGTACGGTACCTTGCGACCTCCGCGGTGAAAGGCGCTTTGCGAGTGTTGAGGTGTGAACCGCTTTCTTCGTTGATGTATTTTCACGAAAACTGCCAAATCCTAAACCGATGTCTTATCAACATTGACACACAGCTCACCAGTGTGCCCAGATGTTCATAGTTTTGGGAAGGATTTCCGCCAAAGTACATTTTTTATTAATCGAAATAAAAAGAAAGTAACGTTACGCTGCGACGAGTACTATGGGAGAACACGTACTCACGCGTGCGCATTTTAACTCCCGAGGCCTAACGTCGTACCCGCCTCGCTCGTGCATGCGTGCTTCGTGCATTTTTATTTTATTAAAATATCTCACCATCGTTTGCCGCGGCGTGTCGAGTGACAGACGCATAGCCGCCCGATACCCCATGGCGTGCGCACGCGTGCACGCACACGCCTCATTGTGCAGTCAGATTTTCGAACGCACGCGTGCACGCACATGCCTCATTGTGCAGTCAGATCTTCGAACGCAACAGATGCTCGCTTGACGCGCTCTCCTTGCCAGCTACGGCGTCGGTGCTCGTCAGATTCTCTCGGCACGTTCATATTTTGCCTCTGGCCGTTGCACGGTGCTGGCGAGCGTGCACGCGGCTCCGCTGATGGATGCCACCCAGGACAAGCGTCTGCCTCGCGCTCTCTCCTGGCACGATGTTCTCGTGACGTTCTCTCGACGTTCTCTCAACTACCCGATCAGACCCCCCCCCCCCCGCTCGTTAAACGCCGAAAACACCTCTCAACAACAACACACACCCACTCGCCACACGACAGGTCACAGCAACAACAACACACCCACCCATTCAACCACACTACAGGTCACAACAACAAAGACAAAGATCCCCCGTATAACCTTAACAGGCTGTTGGGGCAAGTTATGTTAGCGAGCACCTATGAAGGCCGACATAGCGCACGAGGGGGTGGGTGGCGAGCACCACGCCCAGCGGCCTTTGTCTCCCTAGTGGCGATGTTTACACACTGCACCATGTACTCATTTGAGGCCGAGTCGATCTAGGGGAGGCCCAGGACAGTTCAGATAATTGTCACTGGTGTTGACCCTGTGCGGGAATCGAACTCGGGTCATCAGGTTCCTGACGCGGTGCACTAACTGCAACACTACAGCTTCCCACAAGACACTAACCCACCCATTCAACCACACTGCAGGTCACAACAACAACACACCCACCCACTCAACCACACTGCAGGTCACAACAATACACCCACTCAACCACACTGCAGGTCAAAAACATCAACACACCCACCCACTCGCCACACTGCAGGTCACAACAACACACCCACCCACTCGCCACACTGCAGGTCACAAAAACAACACACCCACTCACCACACTGCAGGTCACAACAACAACACACCCACCCACTCAACCACACTGCAGGTCACAACAACAACACACCCACCCACTCAACCACACTGCAGGTCACAACAACAACACACCCACCTACTCAACCACACTGCAGGTCACAACAACAACCCGCCCACCCACTCAACCACACTGCAGGTCACAACAACAACAACACACCCACCCACTCAACCACACTGCAGGTCACAACAACAACAACACACCCACCCACTCGCTACACTGCAGGTCACAACAGCAACAACACACCCACTCAACCACACTGCAGGTCACAACAACAACAACAACACATCCACTCAACCACACTGCAGGTCACAACAACACACCCACCCACCACCCGTCCACTTGCCACACTGCAGGTCACAACAACAACAACAACACACACACCCACTCAACCACACTGCAGGTCACAACAACAACAACACTCCCACACATCCCATTGCCACACTGCAGGTCACAACAACAACAACAACACACCCACTCACACTGCAGGTCACAACAACAACAACAACACACCCACTCACACTGCAGGTCACAACAACAACAACAACACACCCACTCACACTGCAGGTCACAACAACACACCCACCACTCGTCCACTCGCCACACTGCAGGCCACCTCTCTTCTCTCTCTGCTTCTTCCCTCACACTGCTCCACTCTGAAATTTCCTCTTCCCATCATCATCATCGCCAGCGTCTCATGCCCTTAAATGCGTTCACTGCATCTAGTACAATTCCGACAGTGCTGTCTGTTGCTGACCACTTGACGTGTTGGGCCTTGGGGTCGGTGCTCGGAGACTGTGTTTAAACAAAGAGAAGGAGAGGTGTGGGCCGTGGCTTGGTGTTCGCTCTCTCGTGTCTGTGTGGAACACTCAGGGACCCTCCTTAGGAGACCGCTGTAGCCGGATAGTCACTCACGCGCCCTTTCGATTTCGTGACGCGCCCAGTTTTTCCTTTCACTCTCGGAGACCGGGAGACAACGATTTGGCGGCGCTGGAAACCACAGATGAGCATTGAGGGCGGCCACAACCGGCGTCAACAATTGCCCAAGCTCTGTGGTCCTATTTTGGGGTGTTTGGCCAACTCCATTATCGGGTGCTCGTACACGCGGGAGGAAGCCCCTGCGTGCGAGGGGACGGAGTCGTACACTCAATCTCAGCACAGATGGGAACGAGTCCCACTTGCTGTGCTGACGCCATCATACCCTGGCCGTAAGCGACCTCGACGCCAAACAAAGTGTGTGCGTGTGTGATGCACCAACCCCCACTGCTTGCACGGTGCTACACGACTGGCCATATGCTGCGTAGCTGGCCATGCCCGGCTGAAGGCGACAACGCTCGCTGCTACCACCCTCGCACTGCCCCTCCTGCTGCGCCTCCCCCATTCCTCCCTTCCCCCCCCCCCCCCCGTGGCTGCGTGCTTGTGTTTGTCCGGGGAACCGTGTTCAATGCGTGTGGGAGGCCCCACAGCCTCTTGCACGGCTCACCGCTCGGGGCAGTCTTCATACCAGAGCCAATCGCTCGCTTCCCCTCGCACGATTGCCCACTTTCTCTCTCGGCCATCATTCACCACTTCCACTTGCGCGTTCACTCGCTCGCCTGCCCACTCGCCCACCCTCTTCCCACTCATTCGCTCGCCCTCATTGCTCGCATTCACTAACTCCGCCAACGCACTTCAACGATCCACTCGCCCAGCCACCCTCTCATCCACCCATTCACTCACCCAGATGACCGACTCGCTCACCCACTCGCCCAACCTCACCCCACTCACTAACAATCATTGACCATACCACCTATGCAGCCACTCGCTCACCAATTCACCCGCCACACTGAGCGACTAACTCGCTCGCCTACGTCAGAAGCTTCACTCTGGCATTACTTCTTCAGTAATTCCTGGCTCTGCGGAGTTGCGCTGGCTCCTGACCGATCAGTGCGTGACGGTCGTCTACAGCTTTGCCTTCACCTTATCTTCAGAGGCATGGGCCTCCTCGTGTGTCATTTTTGCTTCCCCCCCCGACAGCGGAAATGCCGCTGGCGTGCCAGCGACGGACAGCAACACGCGTGACGCGATGGGTCGGTGCGCGCGTGCGAGCCGGCCTTCGCTCGGCGGGCCATCCCGTTGGCTCTCCGGGAGGGTGTCGGTGGGCCCCGCGTCGGGGTCGGCGCGCTCGAACGCGGGGCAGCCATCGTGACGATGGGAGGAGTTCTGGTTAACACTCGCGCTCGCTCCCTCGCTGCCACCCTCCCCCGTGCTCACGCTCGTGCTGACGGTCGGATTTTGCGTCGTGTGAATTTTCAGCTACCGCAAGCTCGCGCTGAAATGGCACCCGGACAAGAACCCGGAGAACAAGGAGAATGCCGAGAAGCAGTTCAAGGAGATCGCGGAGGCGTACGAGGTCCTCTCTGACGGTGAGCGCCCCGAATAACAACAACAACCGGAGTGCGCTCGTTAACACGCAGCACGGGATCTCAGCCAGAGTATCGCACTTCGTTGCCTTCTGTATGTGTACATACGTATTTTTGGAGAACCTGTTTCGCACCGTATGTAGCCAACCTGGCGGGAACAGTCCGTGTCGATAAATCCACGAGGTTAGAATGACTTCCTGGTTTTTATTCTGGCTTCCTGGGCCTTGTCCTGAAGATGCTGCTAGCGAACCATCGTGTTTGCTCAGTCTTGTTGTGAGAATCGCTCTCGAACCCAAACCTATGGTGAGGGATCCAAGACAATTTTATAACAATTTAATAATGTTTGTCTATGTCGGTGGGTGGAACGTTATTACGACGCAAATTTGGCCAGGTCGTCACACGTGGCCTCGCCCACAAAGCGCTTTACGAGCCGTAGTTTACTCCTGGTCACTCTCTGGGGGAAGCCTCCGCGAGTCTGAAGGGAAGACTCCTGTCGGCTGCACCGGAGCCACTAGGTTTACCATGAGCCTCATCGCCCCCTACTGCGGGACAGCTGGCAATAACCCTCCTAGTAGCTTTGAGACTCGGTGAGCGAGACTGTGAGCGATGCTGCGACGATGTGGTCTCGTGGCCGATGGTGACCGCGGTGGCGTCCCTGTGGTGTCGCAGAGAACAAGAGGGAGACGTACGACCGCTACGGCAAGGCAGGGCTCACGGCGCGACTCGGTGAGCAGCCACAGCCGCCCTCTACGGACCAACGCTCACCACACCACCGCACTCACCACGCATCTCACTCACCACACACCACATTCGCCTACACACTCACCACACACTACACTAACGTACACACTCGCCACACACCACACTCACCTACACACTCACCACACACCACACTCACCTACACACTCACCACACACCACACTCACCTACACCCTCACCACACACCACACTCACCTACACACTCACCACACACCACACTCACCTACACCCTCACCATACACAGCACTCACCTACACACTCACCACACACCACACTCACCTACACCCTCACCACACACAGCACTAACCTACACACTCACCACACACCACACTCACCTACACCCTCACCACACCACACTCACCTACACCCTCACCACACACAGCACTCACCTACACACTCACCACACACCACACTCATCTACACCCTCACCACACACCACACTCACCTACACCCTCACCACACACCACACTCACCTACACACTCACCACACACCACACTCACCTACACACTCACCACACACCACACTCACCTACACACTCACCACACACCACACTCACCTACACACTCACCACACACCACACTCACCTACACACTCACCACAGACCGCACTCACCTACACCCTCACCACACACAGCACTCACCTACACACTCACCACACACCACACTCATCTACACCCTCACCACACACCACACTCACCTACACCCTCACCACACACCACACTCACCACACACCACACTCACCTACACACTCGCCACACACCACACTCACCTACACACTCACCACACACCACACTCACCTACACCCTCACCACACACCGCACTCACCACACACTCACCACACACCACACTCACCTACACACTCACCACACACCGCACTCACCTACACACTCACCACACACCACACTCAACTACACACTCACCACACACCGCACTCACCTACACACTCACCACACACCGCACTCACCTACACACTCACCACACACCGCACTCACCTACACACTCACCACACACCACACTCGCCTACACACTCACCACACACAGCACTCACCTACACACTCACCACACACCACACTCGCCTACACCCTCACCACACACAGCACTAACCTACACACTCACCACACACCACACTCACCTACACACTCACCACACACCGCACTCACCTACACACTCACCACACACCGCACTCACCTACACACTCACCACACACCACACTCACCTACACACTCACCACACACCACACTCACCTACACACTCACCACACACCACACTCACCTACACCCTCACCACACACCGCACTCACCTACACACTCACCACACACCACACTCACCTACACACTCACCACACACCACACTCACCTACACACTCACCACACACCGCACTCGCCTACACACTCACCACACACCGCACTCACCTACACCCTCACCACACACCGCACTCACCTACACCCTCACCACACACCGCACTCACCTACACCCTCACCACACACCGCACTCGCCTACACACTTACCACACACCGCACTCACCTACACCCTCACCACACACCGCACTCGCCTACACACTCACCACACACCGCACTCACCTACACCCTCACCACACACCACACTCACCTACACACTCACCACACACCGCACTCGCCTACACACTCACCACACACCGCACTCGCCTACACACTCACCACACACCACACTCACCACACACCACACTCACCTACACACTCACCACACACCGCACTCACCTACACACTCACCACACACCGCACTCACCTACACACTCACCACACACCACACTCACCTACACACTCACCACACACCACACTCACCTACACCCTCACCATACACAGCACTCACCTACACACTCACCACACACCACACTCGCCTACACCCTCACCACACACAGCACTAACCTACACACTCACCACACACCACACTCACCTACACACTCACCACACACCGCACTCACCTACACACTCACCACACACCGCGCTCACCTACACACTCACCACACACCACACTCACCTACACACTCACCACAGACCGCACTCACCTACACCCTCACTACACACAGCACTCACCTACACACTCACCACACACCACACTCATCTACACACTCACCACACACCACACTCACCTACACCCTCACCACACACCGCACTCACCTACACACTCACCACACACCACACTCACCTACACACTCACCACACACCACACTCACCTACACACTCACCACACACCGCACTCGCCTACACACTCACCACACACCGCACTCACCTACACCCTCACCACACACCGCACTCACCTACACCCTCACCACACACCGCACTCGCCTACACACTTACCACACACCGCACTCACCTACACCCTCACCACACACCGCACTCGCCTACACACTCACCACACACCGCACTCACCTACACACTCACCACACACCACACTCAACTACACACTCACCACACACCGCACTCACCTACACACTCACCACACACCGCACTCACCTACACACTCACCACACACCACACTCGCCTACACACTCACCACACACAGCACTCACCTACACACTCACCACACACCACCCTCGCCTACACCCTCACCACACACAGCACTAACCTACACCCTCACCACACACCGCACTCACCTACACACTCACCACACACCACACTCACCTACACACTCACCACACACCACACTCACCTACACACTCACCACACACCGCACTCGCCTACACACTCACCACACACCGCACTCACCTACACCCTCACCACACACCGCACTCACCTACACCCTCACCACACACCGCACTCGCCTACACACTTACCACACACCGCGCTCACCTACACCCTCACCACACACCGCACTCGCCTACACACTCACCACACACCGCACTCACCTACACCCTCACCACACACCACACTCACCTACACACTCACCACACACCGCACTCGCCTACACACTCACCACACACCGCACTCGCCTACACACTCACCACACACCACACTCACCACACACCACACTCACCTACACACTCACCACACACCGCACTCACCTACACACTCACCACACACCGCACTCACCTACACACTCACCACACACCACACTCACCTACACACTCACCACACACCACACTCACCTACACCCTCACCATACACAGCACTCACCTACACACTCACCACACACCACACTCGCCTACACCCTCACCACACACAGCACTAACCTACACACTCACCACACACCACACTCACCTACACACTCACCACACACCGCACTCACCTACACACTCACCACACACCGCGCTCACCTACACACTCACCACACACCACACTCACCTATACACTCACCACACACCACACTCACCTACGCACTCACCACACACCGCACTCACCTACACACTCACCACACACCGCACTCGCCTGCACACTCACCACACACCGCACTCGCCTACACACTCACCACACACCGCACTCACCTACACCCTCACCACACACCGCACTCGCCTACACACTCACCACACACCGCACTCACCTACACCCTCACCACACACCACACTCACCTACACACTCACCACACACCGCACTCGCCTACACACTCAACACACACCGCACTCGCCTACACACTCACCACACACCACACTCACCACACACCACACTCACCTACACACTCACCACACACCGCACTCGCCTACACACTCACCACACACCACACTCACCTACACACTCACCACACACCGCACTCGCCTACACACTCACCACACACCACACTCACCTACACCCTCACCATACACAGCACTCGCCCACACACTCACCACACACCACACTCGCCTACACACTCACCACACACCACACTCACCTACACACTCACCACACACCACACTCACCTACACACTCACCACACACCGCACTCACCTACACACTCACCACACACCGCACTCGCCTACACACTCACCACACACCGCACTCGCCTACACACTCACCACACACCGCACTCACCTACACCCTCACCACACACCGCACTCGCCTACACACTCACCACACACCACACTCACCTACACCCTCACCACACACCGCACTCACCTACACACTCACCACACACCACACTCACCTACACACTCACCACACACCACACTCACCTACACACTCACCACACACCGCAATCGCCTACACACTCACCACACACCGCACTCACCTACACCCTCACCACACACCGCACTCACCTACACCCTCACCACACACCGCACTCGCCTACACACTTACCACACACCGCACTCACCTACACCCTCACCACACACCGCACTCGCCTACACACTCACCACACACCGCACTCACCTACACCCTCACCACACACCACACTCACCTACACACTCACCACACACCGCACTCGCCTACACACTCACCACACACCGCACTCGCCTACACACTCACCACACACCACACTCACCACACACCACACTCACCTACACACACACCGCACTAACCTACACACTCACCACACACCGCACTCACCTACACACTCACCACACACCACACTCACCTACACACTCACCACACACCACACTCACCTACACCCTCACCATACACAGCACTCACCTACACACTCACCACACACCACACTCGCCTACACCCTCACCACACACATCACTAACCTACACACTCACCACACACCACACTCACCTACACACTCACCACACACCGCACTCACCTACACACTCACCACACACCACACTCAACTACACACTCACCACACACCGCACTCACCTACACACTCACCACACACCGCACTCACCTACACACTCACCACACACCACACTCGCCTACACACTCACCACACACAGCACTCACCTACACACTCACCACACACCACCCTCGCCTACACCCTCACCACACACAGCACTAACCTACACACTCACCACACACCACACTCACCTACACACTCACCACACACCGCACTCACCTACACACTCACCACACACCGCACTC